TTTTCTATTGGCTTGTACCTCTTATAAATAGAAAGTCATGATTTCTTTTTTTTTTTTTTATGTTTTGCATTTGATTATGAAATTAGAGAATTTCATCATACCACCCTCAAATGCATGTTTATTTTATGTTTATATTCACATTATCATGTTAAATTAACAAAGTGTTTTCAGACATATCCTAAAGTGTCTTTTTCAAATAATTTTAAGCTTTGGATAACAATATAAAAAGATGGCCCTAGGAAAATGATATTATTATGTTGAACTAGTATTAGAATAAAATTGATCTACAATATTGAAGTGTGTTTTTTATTAGTTTTATGTTCAAGTAATAATTTATTTTCATCATATTGTAGAGCAGTTACTACTATCTCTTATAAATATTTTTTTTTTCTGTTATAATAAGTATTATAGGTATAAAATCAAATGATTATTTATTTAATTTAAATTCTATACAAAATTTGTGTTAGTATACACATATTTTCCGGTTCTATGGCATTTGTTTAATAAATTTTCTTCACTACTGTGTTTTAATTATGACATTAATTATCAACTATTTTTTCATAATTTTTGGAGTTTTATATTCCATGAAGTAAGAGGATTTATATTGAATATGTAATTAAATTATAATAGTTTTCATACTTATGTTTATATTCTTTAACACACACACACATTATATTATATTATATATATATATATATATATATATCACAACACAAGGTATTATATGCATATTGGTATAATCATATTATATTTTCATTGGGATTTTCAAATTGATCGAATTTAAGATTTTTTAGCAAGCTGATAAAAAATGATAAATTTAATTACAATATGTTAATACAATATTAGTAAAGTCATAATGTTATTTGTTATTAGGCCTTGTGATTCATTGAATTAAATATATTGATTGATCCTACATATTTTATCTATTTTATTATAATTATAAATTTATTATAGGTCATTGTTGTTTGATGCATTTACTTATGTTTATCAAAATATTGATTTATCTGTATTGATGTGTTGAGAAATATTTTTTTATGAAAATACTCGAGTTAATTATGAATTTTACATGTATAAATTTATCAAGAGATAAAAAAAGCACTTGTAAATTATGTATTTCTTAGGAGATATAAGAGCTGGAGTAAAATGTGTAATTAAAAGATGTATAAGGACTCAAATCAAAAAAAAAATTCCATGCTCATAGAGGTATAAAGGCTTGATGATATATTTGAAGTAATTAGAATGTAATAAGGACTTGCTCATATATGTGAATTACTATATATGTGTATAGACCTGAAAATAAATTGATAAAAAATGCTTTAACATGTTGTTTATTTTAATTATCTTATGATAGTGTATATCATTTAATCCAACTGTATAGTAAAAACTCCAACATAAAATGTTTGCATTCAGCAGCCGAAAAAGGAAACAACAGTAAACCGTAGTATAGAAAGCCACCAAGAAGGCAGAGAACAATTATAACCAACAATGACCAACCCTATCCAATTATTATATGGGGCAAATCCAATAAATTACCTCTAATTAACTTCTCAACTCAAAAGGGGGGAGATACCCACCCCTAAATGGGAGACAGCCCATCTAGCCAACCAGTTGGCAGGCTGGTTGCTCTCCCTAAAAATAAACCCCATTCAACATTTAGATTCAACTTTGTAGTTTGATCCCAAATCCTATTTAAAACATATAAAATATGCCAAGGAGGTAGAGTTTTAAGCAAAATATAATCAAGTAAAGAAAAAGAATCCACCTCCACAAAAATATTTTTTCAGCCAGCATTCTCAACACAATAAAGCCAGTAACACAACCCAACCTTTAGCCTCAAGAGGAGAATCTACCACCAAAGGAGTGAAGAAAAATCCCTTGCAACCCCCATGCAAATTCCTAAACAGTCCACCAGCACCAACCCCAAACAAACTCCAACTATGATCCACATTAACCTTGATCCACCCAGATGAGGGGGGAATCCATCTTACCGAATTACGAACAGGGACTTCAGGGTTAAATAAGGGAGTCCCTTCTAAAAATTAACCTTAAAATGATTAGAACACATTATTTTAGATATGTAGGCTAGAATATTAGCAATAACAGCCTCAGGTTTAAAAGGCTCCCCCTTATGTTTACACATATTCCCAGCCATCCAGACAAACTACATAACTATGTAAGGGAAATAAGCAAAAATATGTTCTTAATAACTCCATCAGCCCAATAAAAGGAACAATCCACCACATCACTCCAAAAGGAAGGAATTCTTCTAAGAAAAAATACCCAAAAAAAACTTCATACTAACTTAAGATGCAAAACACTTAAATTATAAATGATTTAATGTTTCTTCCTCCTTCCTACACAAATAGCATTGTAAAGCACCTCTCAAACCTTTTAGTTTCAGATTATCATCATAGGGCAAAAGCTTATAATACTGTCTCCAAACAAAAAAACTCATAGAAGTGAATAGAAGTTTCTCCCATAAATTTGACCAATCCACTTTCAAAAAGTGGTAAATATCGACATAAAGAGATTTAGAATGAGACACCTGATTTGAAAGTTTGATTAAGAAAGAGTCATCTTTATCTATATTTATTGCATTCATGGCTATAACATCAGTTGTTTAGCTCACCACCTCTCTAAGAAAGGCAAAATCCATGACCCCTCTTTCCAAAAATTAGAAACCAAAGCCAACTCGTGAGTCTCCCAACTAGTCAGGCCATAAAGAGCAAAATCAGTCCACTAGTCCTTCCAATAAGACACTTTTTCCCCTAATATTGTAATAATATTAACAGTAGAATCCTCAGTTTTCCAAGACATAGAAGCTGGGTGAGAGAAAGAGCAATACTTTTCTATCATGTAATCAGACCAGAAAGAGCCCTCACTTCTAAATTGGACAAGAGCTCAATGAAGTTGATATTTGCAATATGATGGAGCTCTTTAAGGCCTAAACCACCAACAACCAAAGGCTTACAAACCTTTTTCCAGTTTACCTACATCCTGCTAGAAAAGTAACCTGCCCAGAGAAATTTGTTAAAGCATTTTTCAAGCATAACTTGAGTGTTAGCCTTGAGTTTGAGAACCTACAGAGCATAAAGAGGTAGAGCATTTATCACACTTCTTATCAAAGTAATTTTGCCACCAAATGAGAGAAAATTGTTCCTCGAATCAAGAATTTTATTTTTCACATTCTCAACCAGAGAATCCATTTGTGATTGTTTCATTCTTCCTCTCAAGAGATGTACCCCAAGATATTTTATAGGGAGAGAAGAAAAAACAAAGCCAGTAACATTAGCAATCCACCTAGCCATATATTTTTTCACATTCTTCTCCAAGATAATGCAACACTTCTTTTTATTAAATTCCAAACCAGAGACTTTTTTGGAAATTATTTAAAGTATCATGAGCAGAGAAACGGCCTTCTTACTAGCATTAGAAAAGACATTAACATCATCTGCATATGCAAGATAGCTAACTATCCTTTTAGCTTTGCGATAATAAGACATTTTAGGGTTAGAAAATTTCACCATGTTCAATAAACTGGAAAAATAGTCAAAAATCCAAAATAAATATAGTAGGGAACAGGGGATCACCCTGTTTAATACCTCTCTTAGTAGATGCCCTACCAACTGATCCGAGTACGCGACGCCAGTAGCAATCTTATATATATATATATGTACGCGACGCCAGTAGCAATCTTAATATATATATATATGCTTAACTATTTAATGGGGGTAAATCAGCTCAAGAGATCATGTTAACAAGCATTTGGATAAAACGAAAGATTGGATGTTCCATATGAGAAGTTACCAATGGGGGTTTATTTTATTTGCAAGTATTCGGAGCATATAGTAAAACAAAATTTTAAAAAAAAATGATTATTATTATTATTATATATTTACTTTGAAGTAAATCAAAAAATATAATAATTACATAAGGGATCAGGAATACCTTTGTGTACCTATGTTCAATAAATTTGAAAATTCACTTAAAATCAAATAAATTCAAATTATAAAGACATCTCACAGCCCTCAACCTCACCTTCCTCACATGTTACAACCTCATCAAATCTACACAATTGTCCGCACATACAAGTATCTGAACGTAATATTTTCTCTGCTATCGGCCGCAACCCGCCGCTTATTTATTATTATTTTCCTTTTTTTTTCTTTTTTAATTTGAGTAAGGAAATAGAAGAAATTTTTTTATGGCCAGAAACTCCAAAGAAAAAAGAAAATTTGGAGAGAAATTGCCGAGAAAGCAAAGGCTGAGTAAAAATTAAGAGAAAAATCAGTTTAATTTAGCATGATTCAATTCTGCTTCATGACTTCACTCAAAGCTTCATTTTTTTTTATCCCACTAGCATGCAAAAAAGCAGCACTTGAAAATCCCAACAACATAGATTCAATATTGAAATAACTGTAAAAGTAAGCTTAATTGCAAGGGTTTCAGAATCACTTTGGTCTTCCAACTAATAAAATGTTCAATTTCATTATAAATTTATTGGAATCACATATCAAATGGTAAAAGATTGACTTTAAAAGTTTATTTATTATAATATGCATCAAAGTGCTAGAATTTATGTATAAACATACATCATATCCAGATACGTTTGTATCGAAGCCATTCACTTCAATTCTAAATTTAGATCAATCCTCTTAAATTTTATCTTCTTTTATCAAAGCGTGGACGGGAACAGAAACACTTTGAACCAAATCATAAATACATGTAATAAAAAACGTTACCAAAAATATATTACAAAATTCATTTTCCTATCAAGTTCACACTTTGGATAATGTTGTACATAATAAGCGTGATTAGAGATCCAAGCAGTTTTGGAATATTTACAGGGGGCTGTTTTAATCCAAAAACATCTAATTTATCCAGTTTAATCATTTAAATCCTCAAATCAAATTCAAAGCAGTCAATTGAATCATCAAATATATTAAAAATTGTAATAAAAAGATGGACTATTTCGAATAATAAATAAGAAGTTAAAGGACTAAATTGAAAATATTTATAATTTAGGAGTAAAATAACATCTTCAATTTCCTTTACCAGCAAGCAAGAGTAAGATAAGAAACATAAAACATATAGACACGACAACAAATTTAAATGCCTGCGATAGTGGCAATCACAGGATAGCACACCTACCTGTTTCTAGTTTGTTGCGAAATTCCCGAGACTCCTCTTGAGCTCTGTTTAGCTCATCTCTGAGCTTCTGGATCTCCTCATTTGATCTCAGCCTTGATGCTTTTGCAGCCTTTTCTGCTTCTAACCTTGCAGCCTGTTCTTTATCAGCCTTTGCTTCTAGTTTGTTGCGAAATTCCTGGGACTCCTCTCGAGCCCTGTTCAGCTCATCTTTGACCTTCTGAATCTCCTCAAGTGATCTCAGCCTTGATGCTTCTGCAGCCTTTTCTGCATTTAACCTTGCAACCTGTTCTTCAGCCAATTGATTCTTAAGCTTTTCTATGGTGGAGTTCAATTTTTGCTCTACCTACAGTCAAAAATAGTTCTATAATGAGATTCAAGTGTAAATGACCAAAACTATCATTAAATTGTTTAACTGTGTTCGTTTTAATCATATTTTTTTTAACATAATCAATTTATCCTCTTAATTCAGCAAATATAAATCAATTTGCTTTTGGTAAAAAATTGCTGTAGAGATGTTTTTCATGGGAACATTTTAAATTTTTTGAGGGGCAATTCCATTAGTTTGATCTAAGATTGACCCTAAAAAATCCTAAATTTTATAGTGAGAAACTTACCTCCATTAATTTTCATCTAAAGAAACATCAAAGTTACAGCATAACCAAATTAGTGAAAATTTAATGTCTCAGGCCCCTTTAAATTGCTGAGATGAAAATAGAGAGAGAGCGAAAGTCTGAATCATTTTGACCATCTATTCTCATTTCAGAAATGAACAAATGCAACATAAAATGATACTAATTATTTTGGACTGAAGAAAATAAATACCGTTTCAATTAAGCGTTTGAGCTGATCATCATATGATTTATAGATATCCTCCTTCAGTTTAGACAAGTCCTTGGCAGAGTATTCCTTACTAGCTTCAATCTCTTTCTCCATATCTTTAATTTTTTTCTCCATTTGTTCTCGGCGCAAGGCATCTTGCTAAATAAACAAGAGAGACAATGTCATGGATCAACTTACATGCCTAAGAGAAGGATCTGTCTGAGGTGTACCTTGACTTCAGCAAATATTTGACTTGAGAACGGTTTTCCACCATTGATTGCAACAACGGAGTCGACAAGAGAGATCAACTGTTTTACTTGCCTCTCTCTCTTAATCTTGTCCTTGGTGTAGTTATCAAAAACAATAACTCTGTTTTTACATGATAGAATAATGTTCTACAACAAAATTTTTGTCAAGCTAGGAAAGTTGGACAGCATGCGGAATTAATTGAAAACGTATTTTAAAGTTTGAGCAGAAAAAGGAGAAAAGGAAAAGACAAGACATGGCAACATAGAAAGGTTAATTAAAGATAAGTACTGTAGATATATAGGATCAGTCATTATGTATAATGTTGGCATACTGTGAAAAAACATGTATCAATCTCTACTATAAAGTTAAGTAATTGGTGAACGGTAGACACAATTCTAGAGTTGAAACTAAATGCGTTAACAAACAAAGAAACAAAAACATTTGTTTCAAACTTCTGAAAAATAAGCAAGCCATCAAGAGTATAATCGTGTAAAGAGGATACATAGCGGTGTGAAAACTTAAAGCAGATGATTTTACATATAAAGGTAACTCTGAAATCACTTGACACTGAAATCAATTTGCAGCAACAAGCAGGACCCTTATAGTTATAGCCAAGCACTGGATTGATTTGATCAGATTTTTGTTAGACATTTTCAATATTTTGCCTAAGCCCGATAGCCAACAAAAATTGCATATATTCTTATGACCAATCCTAGACATTTGTCCGGTGTTGGTTAAGTTGAACCAATTCTTGAAGACCTTTTCATTGTTGGATTATGTTGTTTAGGCTTTTTATTGACCGCCCAGCCCTAAACAGCATATCACCTACTCAGATATGACCAAACATTTTCCCTCCAGTTGCAGAGCCTTGTTGTTGCAACATACACAATAGAGATCAAAATTGACATAATTAAGTATTGTTGTGCAAAAAGAACTTATTCAGTATAGCTCCCTGTGGCCACAAAAGAGACAAATCATCCCCCCTTTCTGTCTCTTGACACATATTACATTGCCTTGATAAGCATTCTTCAAAGTGATCTCCATCATAATGGACTAGCTTCCGGGAGGTTCTTTAAGTATTTGTACCATATTAATTTACCTGCATCAACTGTTTGGTTAAGTAAATCTTCCATCAACAGAGAAAATTTTTGATAATTGGATTTTAGAAGTGTTATCGACCCAACTAGTTGTTTCAGAATTTGTACTATCATTGAGGGCGAAATCTGGCCATGCATATATACTGCACGTCCTTTTTAGCACAAGCGAAATCGTGGACCATCGTAAGGGTATCTAGTGTGAATATTGAACCCAAGTTTAGTACAGCTTTCTTGCGTCAATTTCCATTCTTCATTTGAGTTAGATCAAGCATTCTGAGCTCAGCAAGAAGCGTTTGCCAGCGGTTGATCAGCATCATCGTGGGGTTATTCCTAGTATTAGGAAGCATCACACAGAATCCATTCAGATTATATCCTGTTTATGGATGTAACATGTGAAGTTGAAGTGAGTTTTGCTTGGCATGAACTTGACTTAAAACATATTAATTTTAAGTCATGTCAGCTCAAATTCAAAAAATTCAATTTTAGTCCAAGCCAAAATTTGAGTTGACTCGAAATTGTAAATAATTTAAAGATTGGAAGAAGGAATTGAACCTAAAACCTCTTACAAGAGCTACAAAATACCAAATAAATGGATCAACTATTGTTTTTATAGTATTATATTAAATAAATGTGTAATATATGTAATAATTTTCAGCCAAATCGAATTAAATCTCAAGTCACTATAGAACTAAAATAAATTTCAAACAAGTAACTTAACTCTAAATTTGATGTCAAATTATTCAAATCAATTTTGATTCAACTCAAAAAATGAATTAGTTTGAAGTTTCAAATATCTTTATCAACCCTTGGCCTCCTGAATTGAACAATGCAACAAGTGATCAAAGTACCCCATGCAAAGCGGATCCTTTTGTTCGTTACCTAATTTTGTCCCATACGATTCTATTCCTAGATCTAAAAGTCATCTCGATCATCCGACAAAATCTTCCAAAAATATGGCTTCACCTAGTCAACTAGAATGATTCCAAAAGAGAGCGAGAGATTCTACTTCCACAGTCTGACTCATGAACGGGCTAGCGAATAAGAGAGAACACACTTTCTTCATATCATATGCCAACTGCTTTGCCCTTGACTCAACTTTTCAAAGCTAAAACAAGCGCAATCAATGTCCAGAAAACAAACAACCATCACAGTACATTTAGGGTCAATTTTATTTTTGTTTTTTCATTAGTTTTTAACTACATGTTCTTGTAGTGCGGTTTTACATGTTTTAATTTTTTATTTATAGAAGCAAATTAGTCTGATTTTTCAAACACTCAGCTTACAGATGTTTTTAATATATATATTTTTTTAAATCGTATTTTAATTAAATATATCAAATTGTTTTGTTTCAAATCAAAGCATAAACAAAACAAAATAAAAACAAAAAATAAAAAATAAAAAACAAAAGTGATGCCAAATAGCTACTTAATTTTTTAAAATTTTAAGAGTGATAATCATGCATTGAAAATAAAGGAACATAAAGTTTAAAGATACATACATAGATGATGCATGAAACACAGAATAATGCAGTAAATAGATAGATTCTGAAGCAACTTCAGAATTGTAGCTTGACTTCATATTGCCAGTTAAAGCAAAAAGAAAAAAAAAAGGCTCCATATACATCTTATCTAATTAATCATATCAAAGTATCCCAAGGTAACCAACATTATAGTAAAAACAAAGCCAGCATACAACAAGAGTAACAACCCCTCAAGTTATAGCTGAAACCAATGGGGATGCTTGTAATTCCTCTAGCTTGGAAGCAGTACATATATGAGAGTCACATTGGAATAGAAAGTAGAGAAACTAACTGGCATATTATGGGAACCATCTGTTAGTATAGACATAATGGTTTTCATTATGTAAAGAGCATAACATTAATAGTAATGCTTAACGCTGTTTATTGACAATGACTTCAGCCTTTTACTAAGATACAACAGGCAATGCGCTTATCCAATGAACATAAACAATAAAAAAACTTATCAAATTTCTGCTCAAAAATTTAAGATTGAAAAAGGAGCACATACAAGAGGCATTTTATAGAACGATGGAGAGCAAGCGAGATACAAATAGAAGAATAAACTTATGAAACAGTGGGATGTTCAAAGCTTTGACAAGCTCTAACCTTCCAGATATAATATTCAAAATAGAAACTAGAAACTAATACTTGATTGGTAGCAACAACAAATGTGTTAGTCAAACATGACAAACAAATAAAGAAACAAAAATATACTTACAAAAGCAAACCATAAATACAAGAGACGGAGTTCATACATAACCCCAACCCCTGAGAAACTCATTTCATCATAGACTAGATCTCTAGCAGGTCATTATTCATGCGATTCATGGGCATTAGTAATTAATCTTGTAAAGGTAAGAAATTGTAAAACCAACTTACATGTTCCAGTATTCAAATTGTTGTTGCAACAATTGTAAAATAATAGCACTTCATTTCCAATTGATTACAACACATTATCACTCCTAACAATAGAGAATATCCTCCTTGTACATTTTTGCACATGTAAATAAATCATGTCTTTTTTTTACATAAGATCATGCATAGAGATTACAAATCTAAACCCATTGAATTACCTATCAATAAAAAACACTGAAATAAATATCACATATTCATATAATTTTCACTCAACTCGTGAGTTCAACTGTTCAAGGCTACCTTTATACAAAAAAACATCTACCCTTTATAAATTAAATAAAAGACTACAACATTAAGTAGAACGGAACATAAATTATAATTCAAGCAAAATTGCATATATAAATCACAGCCTAAAAAACTGCCACGAAAACAAGTTATTAGACTTCTATTTATAAAATATTTCAAAATGAAAAAGAAAAACTTGCAATCATTATGTAACTATTCAACAAACTAAGCGATAAAAACTTCACAGATCAAACATGACCAAAGAGATAAAAATTACATGAACAAACCTTCAACGGCTCTGGACACCGGCTGATATAATCATTCAAAGTTTTCCTACTAGCTTCAAGGGTATCACCACCAGTAAAAACCACGATCATGTAGTCAACAATTCTATCACCAAAGAGGGTTTTCATGGTCTGGATAGCAGCCTCTTCTTCCCTTGTAAAGCGGGAATTGATAGAGAACACCATGAGTATTGCATGTAGACCATCCTTGGCTAAATCTATGCATTTGACTATCTCTCGACCAACGAACTCAGAGCCATTTGAAAAATCAAATAATCCTAAAGAGGAAAACAATAATCCTAATTAAAACCTCAGCTTGCTGTAAAAGTTTTACCACAGACAACGATGACACTCATGACAGAAATTTTAAAGGGCACAAATGCATTGATGGAATTAGAAGCAAAACTATAAGGAAACAATGAAATGGCAAGTAAAAGTTAGTAGGCAAATTTTCAAAATAAGCCAAATAGTGCCTCATTTTTTGAAACCCCCCAAATATGTCCCTTTTTCCTTATCCACATCTTAGGTTAATATTGGTGTTTTTCTAGCTTGATACTTGGGATGAAAATTCCCATACTTCAACTCTGAAATTTCACAATTACCATCTCTATGCAAGACATCCCAGACAACGGCTGCAATTGCAAAGTCAAAGTGAGTGCTAGATAATAAATGTAATGGTGTCATTCTACTGGTGACTCAAAAACATTTTAGTCAATTAAAACTGTTGCTAAGGGTTACAGTTCTTGAGATGAAAATGCTCTACATTATTGATACAAACTAGGCACTTGTTCTAGGCTTAAGTAAATAAAAAAGCTGCCAAAAGTGGCTCGTCGTTCGCGAAAAACTCGTGTTTGGCTCATTCATTATGCCCAATGAGCCGAACAAGACCAAATTTTAAGCTCAAAATGTAAATGAGTCGAACACGAACAAAGATTTGTTCGATTAAGCTCGGCTCGAATTGGTTTGAAAATAATTAAATATTTATATTTATTTATATTTTTTATATTGACTTTTCATATGTATTAAAAATACTGAATTTTATTATTTTAAATTATATTTAGGTGGTATAATTATATTTAGGTGGTATAATTATAAAAAAAATATAAGTTTAGGTGTTAGATATGTAAATAAATAAAATTTGGGTGGTGTATGTATGTAAATGGGCCTACAAGTAAGAAGTCACTTCTAAGTTCGCTGGCTTGGCTACAGGGAGACAAAAAAGGGAACCTCATGCATGCCATGGTGTGGCTTTTAACTTAATAAAACCAAAATTAATTGGCTGCAGACAGACAGGTTCACCAACATTCAATGGACTATGGCATAATCTCACACTTTAGTCCCACACCGGGAGGGCGGAAAGGAAGGTGCGAGAAAGCTTTATAAAAGCAGAAGCGAAGCCATTCCTTCACAAGAAAAATCTGAATTCCAAACCGGTTCCGTAAACATAATTATTTTTTTTAGTTTAATAATAATTAAATTAAATAAGGTGTTCAAATTAAATTAAAGCTGAATATGAGCTTTAATTCGAGCAAACGAGTTTGAATCGAGCCAAACACAAAAAAGTTGTTCATAGGCCATTTCAAGCATCAACAAAAAAGAAAAAAAAAATTCAACGAGTCGAACACAAATGAGCACTAAGCTCGCTCAAGCTCGGCTCGTTTACACCTCTACATTCAACCTCTCAGTATCAGCTAAAGTAGTGTTGCTTCCAACTAATAAGTAATGAAGTGAGAGGTTGCCCTCCCATACAATCGCATTGTGGTTCCCAAAAAAAAAAAGAGCTATTTACAAATTCTGTCCAATAAGAAATGACTTTTCAAGTTATTAATGAATAGAGAACCAGTGAGTTAGCACGGTAAAACATCATATTACCTTTTAATCTAAATGAAAAGATAAGAAAACCCGTCAATTCCCATTCAAGGAAATCTCATCTATTCGGATTATTCATTAGAAGAGCGAGAGCTACTCCTCCGTGCCAAGTTTTGTCAACAATTATTTTTGTAAAGTTGCCCGCTTAAATAACTTCTACAAGAGCAATTAATAAATGAAAACAATATTCATACAGCAAAAAACTCATTTACAACTCGAGTTAGGTAAAAATAATACAATAACTATAACTAGAATAAGCATACAAAAACATTATCTCATTCCCATAAACTTCAAAAACTATCAGCCCATACTATTAAAATCCTAAAACAAAGGCATTGGATGATTTTGGATGTTGAAGTCAGCTGGGAGAAGCTTACATAAAAAGCTAATCAAGCCCATCCTGGCCCCTTCCCAATCCATTCCAAACATAAACAAGCTTGGAAATTAGAAGTTCGATTCAGCTCGACCTGATACTTTTATGGTTTTTATTTATCACGTCAGCTAAAACTATTGCAATACTAAATAATATTAGAAGCAATGAATTCAGAACTCATAAAATGCATTAAAATGGTCTTAGGGGGCAGTAAGCAATCCCTCACTTGCTATAAAAGGACAAAATTGTATAAATGGTAATTTCACAAGCCATTTAGTATATTCCTGCTTTATATTAAATTCAGCCCTTCTTGAAGTCTTCTTATGGAGCTAAATATCCAAATTCACAACACAATCCTTAGGCAGGCCATGTAGTATAAACGCATAAGATAAGAAAGTAGTACCTAAAGCAATAAAGCTTGATATTCCATCAAAACAATGAATGAAATACACAACATTTACGAAATATTCTAAGTGTAGAGGCGTAGAGAGAAACAATTCAACATTTTGTAGCTTCCAAAATCCAACATTGAACGATGAAATGTAGACACCAGTTTCCATAATATTTTACATACAATAAATAAGGAAACTATACAATGACAAAATAAAAGAATTATTAGTTTTTTTCATGATGTACTAACCTTAAGAGGTTGATTTCACTGTAACTAATCAGAATGCACATCTTTACTGACATTACAAATTATTCTCTAAAATATTCTTCAAAAAATAATAAGTAATATTGAAAATTGTGACAAGGTTACCTGAAATCGATCTTTTCCAATGATCTAATAGACTAATATTGTTATATTAGAGAAAAAAGAACTAATCCCTCGATTATTTATAAGGGGTTTTTTAACCAATTTAGTCCCATTCTTACGGGTGCAAACAAACTGAACATGAGTGAAGCCTGATTCGGCTCGTTAAGAAATACTACTATTCATGTTTGATTCGTTTATATATCGAATAAAAAAAATTTATTTGCGTTCGGCTCATTTGCTTAGCGAGCCGGACACAAGTTGTTCACGAATAAAGAGCCGTCTATACAACCCTAGTCACACAGTCATAGGATGTTAAGGGTTGGGAGAGATTTAAATTTTATTATTATATTAAAACATCACTTAACAATAATTTAATATATTTTAACTCTATTTATTTAATTAATAATTTTAATTGACTATAAATCTTTTTAGTCTTGTAATCAATAAAATTATTTAAAAATAATACTCATCAATTATACATATATATATATATATTGAGCCAAAACGAGTCAAACACGAATAAATAAATATTTGTTCATGTTCGACTCATTTATATATCGAGCCCAAAAAAATTATTTGAGTTCGACACGTTTGCTCAGTGAACGAAACGAACACAAGCTTATTAAGGAGCTGAACACGAACTGTTCGAGAACAATGAGTCGTTTTGATAGCCCTACTCATATTAATAAAGAGGGATCCAAAAGAAAATTCATTTAAACTAATGGATATTGAATTTAACAGTGTTAAGAATAAGAGTTTTTTATGAAAAATATATTTTCTTATTGAATTTTTATTAAATATAATTTTCTACTTAATCTTATTTTCTTGTGGACAACAGTTAACCTAAAATACAAGAAGAGTGGATTGAAATCATATAAGTTGCAGAGCAAGTTATTTATAGTAATAAATAATTTTTTTAGACATTCTTATCTTAAATTCATTGTTACAAAAATTAAATTTTATATAATGCAATCACATTAACAAAAATATTTTTTATAAAAATAACTCGCTTTGCAACTTACAAAATCTCAATATACTCTTGGTGTACGTGAAATTCACTATAGTATACAAGAAAATAAGATAACTAGGAAATTATATTTATTAAAAAACTTAAAATAAATTATATTTTCCCAAATTACCCTTTTTTAACACCACTAATTTTAATTACTCTTACTTTTGACAACATAATTATTTTATGCTTTAACGAGTTTGGAGGTTAAATAGCACATTTTACATAGTTTGGGATAAAATGGCCCCTCACAAATAGTCAGTGGATCATTTTAGTGATTTTCTCTTTTATAGAATAAACGTAAAACTTCAAATTTAACTTGGCGCCCAAAATTTTTCAATAATGAGCCTACATGAATTAGCTTATAAAACCTTTTTGGCTCACTAACTTTGGTGCCATTTGAAAATATGAATTTTTTTCCATGTGGCAATCCCATTTGAAATGGTGACAAAATATTAAATGTGGGATTTAAAACATAACGCTTTTGAATGAAAATATATATTACCAACAAAGTTCTTACACACCCTGCAGCTACCTTTTAAGTATTTATTAACCACTTGAATTGGTTTTAAGGTTAAAGTATTAGACCATCCCTATTATAGCCTAGGAAATCCTACTAGAATTAAACTAAATCAAATCATATAACACCCTTATAACAATGCAGTGCTAGAAAATTTCTAAAATCAAACAAAGAATATAATTACCAGGAGTGTCAATAACATGCACATCACGTCCGTCCAAAATAGTGCTTTTTAGTTCAGAAGTAAATGTTACCGCAGAAGGACTAAGATCAGAAATGAAGGCCTGTCTTCCAAGAATGCTGTTTCCCGTTGCACTCTTGCCATTACCTGTTTTCCCCACAATAGCAAGAGAAATGGCATTGCTTATGGGAGCTAGCTCCCAATTCTCAAGTAGATCTACCAGATCATCCTCCATTGAGGAAAATATCGCAATAACCTACAAAAACAAACAAATAGAACTAAAACTCATTATTGGGGGAAGTGAAGGTTGGAAAGGTTGTGTTTGTGGGAAGGGGGAAGAAATAAACTTCCATGCAAAGAAACATACATTCAAAAAGGTTATAGTTGAAAAAGAAAATCTGAAATCACAAAAAGTATTCCACAAAGAAATAAATTTAACAGATCATAAAATTAGAATTCACCCCCAATGTCTTTTCCACAAAATAAGGCGTTTTTGGACCATTTGCAACACTATGCTTATGGACATCCGGTCCATGGAAAGCATCACCTTTGAGGTTTAGCAAAATCAATTAAAAACTTGTAAAATTCTTAGAACTTCTTTAATGTTATTTGAGATATAATGCACAGTACCAGAGGATGAAGTGGTCAGCATCTAGGCATGTGGTCTAAAACATAGTTCTCTGATTCACATCATAATTTATCACATATAATGCGCAAAATATTTACCACTGGAAACCCAAATAATGAAAACGTACATCAATGAGTCTATGTTCTTATAGCCCAACCTAAGCCAAATTAGGCCTAATACGAACAATAAATTTATGGGGCATTTATATAAATACCACTCAATTCTTATGCATTTACATATCTAACAGCTAAATTTTATTTTTTTACATTTATACCACCCAATAGTTTCATATCGCATAAAAAATATCACTATTTTAACTTTCAAAAATTGAAATGCACATTATCATGCATAGGTAAGGTGGCATATATGTAAAAATTAAAGTTTATATGTTAGATATACATAAGAATTAAGTGGTAAGTAAATCCACCAAATTCTATATATTCATTACCAGCCGAAAGTGATATGGCCTTCATTCTAACCAAGCTGCATGGTGCAATAAGTTATATTGAACAAAAACTTTTTATATAGATGTATGGTTAAAACATAAATAAAAATTACAAAAAATGTTTTCTTCAAATGAAAATATAAATCCGCCCGAAACTTGTAGCATCCTACTTTAACCCCTACAGTGAATGCCTTGACGTTGATATCTAACACCCTTGTACACCTGACAAGATGTTTTTGCCAGCTAAATTTACAGTGCCGGCAGTTAGGTTTTTCAGCAACCACAACCAGCTTTCAATGCAACAATAAATTGATCAATTAACAAGAGAAGTTACAATTTTATTTCAGGAGTAGAGATTTTCGCTGGAAAATGCTACGGGATGTCTTTGTTGACTAAGGACTGCTCCAATATCTGTATCAAACGAATCACACTTCATCTCAAGCACAAGATCAAAATCTGGAAAATTTAAGACTGAAGTTGTACCTAGGGCCGGAAAAGGGTTGTCTTGAGCGATTTGATCAGTGGGACAGCAATAGTACTGAAGCCCTTGACGAACCGGTACCAAAAATAGGCTAACCCATGAAATTGTTTGACGTTAGTGAAGGACGTAGATGTCAGCCAGTCCTTGACAACAACAATTTTGCTGGAATCTACCTCCATTCCCAAAAAATTGATGTGAGAAACAAGAAATTCACACTTAACCTTATGCGCAAAATGTTGATGTGATTGAAGGACTCCAAAAACAATCTGTAAATGTGGCAAGTGTTCAGCCTTTTTAAAGGTATAAAAAATAACATCGAGTTGATCACTACAAATTTTCCCATAAAATGTTGGAGAAGTTGATTCATCAGGCGCATGAATGTACTCAAGGCGTTAGAAAGTCTAAACAGCATAGCCATCCATTCTTCTCTTGAGTGTTGTTTTCCATACATCTTGTTGCATATGTATTTGATGATACCTGCTTCGAAGGTCTATTTCTGAGAGAGCAACCACCACTTTTAATTGATAAAAGAAGTCATTCAATCTAGAAATGAGACATCTACATTTGATAGTGATTTTATTTACAGCCTGACTGTCAATGCATATGCGCCATGTCTCATCCTTCTTTAAAATCAAGAAAGTCAGAATCATGCATGGGCTAGAACTACGCTGCACCAAGCCTTTGTTAGTCAACTCATCCACTTGGCATGGAAGCTCCTCATGTTCCTTTGGAGACATCCTATAAGCGAGTTTGTTGGGAATGATCGAACCAGACACAAAGTCAATGTGATGTTGTACCTCTCTCATAGGAAGCAATCCTACAGGAATTTCCACCAGAAAGATGTCTTTGAACTGTCGTATCAATCTTTGAGCTTCAGAAGGGAATGTCGTATCGATGCCTCCTTTAGATCCTTCAAAATAGTGGAATAAAAGTGTTAAATTCAATCCTCAGATGAACTTTCTCCTTCATTGGCACCAAGGTGGCTTAAATTCCCTCTTTGATAATGAATAAGTGTTTGCACAATCGTCATGAATTGTACGACGATCATATTGACAATGTCAATCGGACAATATATGGTAAATGCCCATAAGAAATGTCTGCTCTTGAAGTTTTCGACCAATCAAAAATTGCACCAAGCATTGTCGGGTGACTTTAATTTCAGCTCCCTTCTTGAACCACGTGAGTTCAAGGATGAGAATGAGGTTGTGTAGCTAGTCCAAACATCTCCAACATAGTCGCTGAAACAACGTTTAAACAACGTTTTCACAACTTTCGTCATCGATGTTAGATTACAAACCTTATCACGAACCATGCACCAGGTTATAAAGAAGTGTCGTAATCAATCTTGAAAGATTGTTTGATACTTAGGAGATGTCATATCATAAGTAATTCTACTTCATCCGCATGTATGAGTTGCGTCCTAGTCAGAATATTGTCTTCTTCTTCATAACAACATCTTTCTCTTGTTAGCTTCCTCTACCAAGAAAATGACACAACGGTTTGGACAATTTTGAGGCTATGCGACCAAACCAACGGCCTTTGAAGAAAATTTGAAAAACTAAGAAGTTCCTCCCATTTATGTGGTAGCATTCCCTTGAGGTTGGTTTGGTGTTGCTCGGTTGTCGTTTTTCAACCCTTCATCTGCCTAGTTGCACCTTGGCTTGAACCGATTTGTTGGAACATACCAAGTCATTGGTAGGACCGCGCATGGGAACAATTTTACCCATTTTTGTTGTTTTCTACCTTCACAACCAAACTAATCACATATTGTAGAGTCCAAAAAGGCTGGAGTTGAACCACATTGGCTATATATGGTCGTTGACCACTGAGCAAACATGCAATTGTGAGTTCTTCGGGTTTGAAAAGGTTACATTTCAGCCCTAGCTGTTCTAATTCAGCAATATATTCTTCTATAAACCATTCTTGTTGATGAAGATGGTGTAACCGAATGAACACCTCTTGTCGATATTATTCCAAAAGAAATTTAGATTTTAATTCTTTATTCATCATGCTCCAAGTGATAATCCTGAATCGGCCCTCTCTTCGTCGCATTTTCTTCACGTTCTCCCACCAAACAAAGCATTCTTCCTCAATTTAATGACTACAAACTAGACAAATTATTCTTGGGAACCTTATTTAAATTCAAGAATGTGCTCTACCATGTGGCCAATTAATAAATTCATTCGGATCTATTCGGCCTTCAAAATCCAGAATGTCAATCTTGATTCCAAAATCAGCAAACTTGCGGTGTCTTTCCCTCCTTCACTCACTCAGGGACCATGCCTCATCGTTGGAAGCTTCTTGGTGAAAGGAGTTTTCACCTTCTTCATCCTCCTCGCCATCCAATCTTGGTTCCACCATCTGATCTAAATTTTTTTGCTCCAAGACCACAAGCAACTCCTACAGTCCCTTGATTTCACGTGCAATTCTTCGACAATCGGTTCTTGATTAGGTCTTGCAATATTTCTTCGTGGCAACATGTTTGAAAGTAGAAAGAACCACAATCGAACACAAGGGCAGAAATAAATTCACAAATTATGGGAATGAAATGGGATTGAGAAGCCAATCAGCAGCCTCCTGTGGCAGCCCCGATGGGACCCAACGATTGGATAACAGCGGCACTTATTTTTAGCCAAATAACCCAAGAAAGAAAGACTGCACTCATACCAAAAAGGGTATTGCAGTTGGTTGTGGAACAAACAAAAGAAAAAGAATAACCACAGAGACCGAGACCCAATGGAGACAACCGAAAACAGCCACAAAGAAAATAACACAATTGCCAACGAATACTTCAAAAATTTAGAGACAAGAACAATATATAATGGTCAAAGCACCACATAAGAGCCCCCTTAGGATACAGAAGCAAAGGTGTCGGAATGAGCACCAAACAACGTTTAAGACGTTTAAGAAAAAAAAAAAAACTCACAAAACACTACATACCCTAAACAAGCTCCAGGTATTTATATTTAAGCTATACTTAAGCTAAGAATCTTTCTAATTACAAGTTTATTATCCCAAAAGATAAATAAAATACAGAAAACACTGGACACAAAAACAAAGACTAAAGTAAAACAACTACACAAAGGACGCTAGGACAGCAAAGACTTCAAGCTCCAGAGTCGGACAGTGTTATCAAGTGTTGATGAATGTGTTCTAAAAGTGGAAGATATAATAAGAAGATGGCACTATTCTTATCTTCAATAGTAGAACACCACCCTTGAAGATAAAGCTAAACAAGGAAATTTCTCACTTCCTCCAAAATGAAATAAGAAAAAACAAAAAAAAAGATAGATATATGATAGCACTTGAGATATACCAACATGATTGGGTAAGCATGTGATGTGCCGCTTCACTGAAATGTCCTAGCACTAGTAATATTTTTAAATTTGGATTCATCTCATTAGTTTTAGATTGAGTTTTACGATTGGCTACCAACACAACATAAACCCTAATTCTACCATATAAAACTCAATATATGTTATAGTCATGCCCCTAATTCAAAGTAAAACAATTCTCTTAATTATACAAGATCGTGCTAGACTTTCAAACATAAGATCACCACAAACAAGTCTTAAATGCATTAATCTACACTCTAACATTAAGAAATAATCATAAAACCCAAATTTCCACATACGCATAACTAAGCCTTACAACTCTAATAATTATGCCCAAAACACAACACGGTAAGTGTTGGATCCTATAAACTCAATATATGTTACATCAAACTCATAATTTCATATTAACAGAGATGAAAGATTTACCGTCCCTAGATCAGTGAAAGAGCCCTTGCCGACTCGTGGAGAAACAAAAATGCAGAAGTGATCGCAAATTATAATAAAAAAGCTAACTCATTCAAGGGGCGATCCGGCACAAAATGTTCGGAGGCTAAAGCAAGATGGTGATTATTGCTTACCTCTGCTAGCTTTCTTCGGGCCGAAGGTGGGAGATAGATTCGGGAACCCGGCACAGTGGAGCGGAAGAAACAGAAGACCAATAGTCAAGTTAGGCCATATCCCTTGGAGGCATGTCGAACGCTTTGCATCACCGCCAAGGTTCGTACTCCGATGACCGTATTAGCAAATTTAGGACGTATTTTGACTGGAACTTTAGTTTTCCGTTAAATAGGATTTATCTTATCCCATAAATCAGATTATCATTCCACAGAATAAATTCCACTAATTTATTAAATTCAAATTTATTTCATAAAAATAATAAAATGTGAGGAAAAAAATATGAAACACAAGAAAAATAAAATTAACAGAATATTTGGATTTAAGCCAAATTTATAATTAAATCTCATAAATAATATGCTATTAAATACGACTTTAGTTGCTATTAAAAGTTTTTATTTATTTATTTATTTTCATGATGAGGGACACAAGTTAGTAGAATTATATGTATAAAAAATTCAAATTTGTTGGTTGAAGTGGAGGATTGCTTTGGGCTTATTATTTGATAGAAAAGTGTCACTTAGAAGGAAAATTTCATAAGATCATGGTGAGACCTGCAATGCTCTATGGCGCTGAATATTGACCTTTAAAAGAAGCAAAAAACTAAGTGTTGCTTAGATGAGAATGCTTAGGTGAACGAGTGGTTTTACACTTAGAGACAAAATGCGAAATAAATATAGACGTTATAAGGTTGGTGTAGCTCCAGTGACGGACAAAATAAGGGAGAGTCGTCTTGGATGGTTTGGCATTAAACGTCAACAATCTGATGATCCGGTTAGGAGAGTAGATGTTTTAGATTCAACTTATCTAAAGCAAGGCAGGGGCACATTGTATAAAAAATGATCTTAATCTATTATAATTAAATGAATTTTCGCTTTTAATTTATTATAAAAGATAAACAATTTTTGAAGATTTGTAAGAATAATTATGAATTCTAAAATCAATTCAATTGAATAATAAATTTCTTTTTTAAAAAAACTGATTTCTAATATCAAGCAATCTAATAAAAAAATATTATTATTTTGACAGCTTAATACATTTCTATAATCATGACTCATTAAATGTGTAACATGGCCCTCTCAATAATTTAACATGTAATGTCATTTTTTTTTAATGAAGAGCATGCCAATGGAGACTTGTAAATCTAAAACAAAAATGCAAATATATATAAATAATTGTAAAAGTATTATCAATTATATGACCAATCAAAGAAGTTTAATATCAAATCTTGGTATGATTCATTTTTTATTAAAAAAAAAGTTTAAGATTTTATTAGCATTATCAATAGTGAAATCACAAGTTAAAATATTTAATTTGAATAATAATAATAATAAAATGGGCATTTATGTACATTCTATCCAATTCCTAAGTATTTACATATTTAATGCCCAAATCGTATTTTTTACATTTTTAAAGATCAAATCTTTAATATCAAATCAAAAATTATACTTTTTCACTGTTAAGATGTAACTCACGATATGGTGGTCTCATGATTGGGTTTCTTCTCCTAATCAAGATGTCTCATGCTCGAACGCTCGCCAACCAAAGAAAAAAAACTACAAAAAATAAGATGGATATTTTTATGCATAGAAAAGCTTGTATATTGTTGAATTCTTTTACGACGTATAGTCCCATAATATTTGTGAGTTCATAAAATTTGGGAGTGCTCTTGTGAAGGAGGTTAAAATGAGCTTGAGATTTTAGAGATTGTGGCTATTGTATTCATGGCGTTGAGGAAGAGAAGAGAATGTTTTCTCTCTAACCCATTATGTATATCTCTTAGAATGTGTTTGCCCTCACAGGGTTACAAAAAATAAAAAATAAATGATTCATTGTATGCTCTTTATAGTTTCACATGAATGACTTTGCATCTTGACCCTTTGGTTGAGTTGATTGAGGATAAGTCGTAAACTTAAGTTGAGTCCATATACGCTTGGAAATGCCCTCAGCTACTCTTTGGCCTTAGAGGCTTAAATTTTCTACTTGGTCTTTCTTTGGCACTTTGCACTCTCTTTCATAATTCCTTGGATAAATTTTCCTTTGGTTCAAAATGAGCATATTGGGTATGAGGTTCATCTTGACTAAGATAAAGGTTTATCTTTTAAAAATTGAATAAAATCAAATTCATTAAAACTCTAAAAATAAAATCAAAATTATATGGAAAATAAAATCACCAAAATTTTCATTAAAATCAAAACTACAATAAAAAAACTCAAAATTGACCAATAAAATGAAAATGGGAATTATTTTTTAAAAAAATCTCCAAAATAAGATAATCATTTCAAAAAAGGATAAAATTCATTAATAATCACAAAAATAAGAGAAATTTGGAAAATAATAAATGTTGAAACAAATTTAATAATAATAAAAATTAAATTTAATAATCAATTCAAAAAAAAAAACATTATGCAAAAATTTCAAAAGATAGCCAATAACCCATTTCATATAATCGTTCATTAATGAAATTCAATAAAATAAAATAAAAATCAAAATAAATTTTATAATAATACTTTCAAACTTTTGCTTACCTCTCTCTTACTTCACTTCAAAATCCACCCAAACCCAATTCCTACTTAAAATAAAATTTTCAAACATTCTTCACTCACTTAAAACCATTCATGATTATTCAAAATCACTACACTACATTGCAATTTTCAAATAAATAAAACCATATTCAGGACAATTTTTATACACGCACACTCCCTTCCATTCACTAAACAATCTCAAGCTCTCTAAATCTCACTCAAAATTGGTCTTAAGACCACTTGCCAATCCTTGACAATCCACTCCAAATTGAAGCCAAATCCATTTGATTCAATCCAAGCCAAACCTACCAATTTCAAACCACTATCCAAATCACTTTGACTCAACGTAATATTCGAATTGGATAAAAGAAAATTTTTTTAAGATGTAATTAACTATAATATTTTAATATTCGAATTGGATAAAAGACAAATCAATTTTAAACTGAATTTTAAAATTTATTGAAGATAAAACAACACCCTTAAGAGTTTTCTTAAGAAAATTTTTTTTAAGATGTAATTAACTATAATAATTTGCACTTATAGGAAGTTAGTAACCCAGATTAACCTAAACTCAATGTAATATTCGAATTGGATAAAAGAAAATTTTGTTGGTATAATGATCACAAAACAAATATCCAAAAATTTTATTATTTAAATAATTGAATACATCATAAAGTCATATTTCATCTCTCAATATGGTATATTACTTTTGATATCGTGTTGGTTATTTAAATAATTAAATATTTCATATCTATTTGGTCTTTATTTCAAAACAATTAAAATAAAACCATCATCTATTCTTAAAGGATGTGAACTTTATTGAAAATCTTTGATAGAGCAAGTTATCATTCTTCTTTTGTATACGGGTCAAAAAGTCCATGCCTTCACCTAAAACAACATTAACAAAGCCATGTTTTGGTTCCTTCAAATATTCTTTGAGAATGATAATGGAACCATTTTTGTGGCTTCTCTCCAACTAGTCTTTGAAAGAGTAATATTTATCAATCTTATATCTCAAAAGGCTGTGATATGAACGATAATTATGTTTATTACTCTTATCTACTTCATCGGGCTTAAGGGACACAGGTAGTTCGAAGTCCAGATTCTTCAAAAGTTTCTACATCTTCTCTACTCCATATTCTTTAAAATAATATATCTGACTCTTGCTTTCCTCAAAAGTAAACTTAGACATTCTCCTTATCTCAGACTAAATAAGGCTGTCGTGGTTGTCGTTGTTGTTGTTGTTGTGGAGTATGTTATTATTGTTGCCTAGAGTTTTTAAGTAGTATTTTCATGGTTTATTTTCTATTATCAATGATAGACACATTTTCAGCTTACTTCTCATAAATATTCTAGGGTATTTACTTAGTATCCTGATTTAGAAATGATAGTTTTTAGTTTATTATTGCAAGCTGACCGTTTAACTTATTAATTTCTCAAAAGTTTTAATAGTAATTTTTTTTAAGAATAGGACAATTAGACTACGATTGTTCTTTAGTAGGATTTCTATAGCATTTTGATATTGTAGCTAACGTTCATATTTTAGACTCAAAATTCTCCATCTCAGGATATAATCAACCAATATATCACCAAATTTTAATTTCTCAATAAGCAAGTCACAAACCATAACATGTTATTGAGATCCAACAAATGTTTTTTTGAATAACTCTTCAAGTTCTGATAAAGTTTTAACTGGTCCATTTGCTAGCTTTACATACCAATCAAAGGCTACTTCGACTAAACTATTAACAAACAGAAAAATGAATAAACACTCATTCCCTCTAACATTATAACAACTTGAATCAAGTGATGTCTTAGGTTACCAGTTCCATCAAATACCTTAAAGATTGGTGGTAAAAACCCCTAAGGGTATTACACCACGCTAAATCTTTATGGATATGGTGTTCATTTAGGTAATTGTGAATCCTCACAAGCCTTGGCTAAGACCTCTTTTACGTGTTGTTTAACTATGTATTTCAAATCCTTATGTGAGATTATGAGTGATTTTGATTTCTTCTTAAATATTTCATCCTCACCTGTCTTTATCTTTGGGTTCTCGATTATACATACAACTTCAGGTTTTTCCACTTCAATATGCATTTATGTTGGAGTAGAAGTTTGATTTTGGAATATAAGTGTTGAAACTAGTATTTCTTCTATTCTCTTCTCTAATCTTTCCATTTATTCATCTTTTTGTCTTAACTGATTCAGAAGATGTTGGGTTGTATCCAACATTGTATCTTTCATCAACCATAACATCTTGAGAATCACTATCACCTTGTCATCCCTTATAGAGGACATAATTTTAACAACATCCATGATAGTAGCATTTTCTTCTAGTATAGTCCCTTGTGACACATCTCCTTCAGGATTCTTTAAATCTTCTTCTTTTCTAAGCTGCATGGTACTGGCTTTTAATTTATTCATCATTTCATCTATTGGTCAGTCTTTAATATGATTTGGATCAGCTAGAACATATTTAGGCTTTTTATCGCTATCGACTTCTTTCATTTCATGACTTTCTTCCTCAATTTAATCTTGATCTAACAACGTTTAGATTTTGTTAATGTCCCCCTTTTTCAATTTTCATATTCTTTAAGA